CACTATTTCCCAAATCCCCCCCCCCCCCCTAAAACTTAATAAAATTGAACTAAAAACGAGATATTCGTGATCAGCACAAAATTCTGCGTCGAATGGTGTACTTTTAAGGGAAAAATGAAGAGTGCTGAAATTTTGAATTACCGGCACCTTAGATCTTCTATAAACAAATTCAAACTATGTTTTCAAATCCAAAGCGTTTGGCAACTTTCACTCGTCAGCAAATTAATTTAGAGTTTAAAAACACGTTCATAACCAAATGAATAGAATGACTAAGGAAGATTTTGTTCATCATGAAGAATGTTTAAATGAATGTTAAATTATTAAATTGACCTCCAAAATGGGACGAAGGTCATTTACGTGAATTTGTCATGTTTGATTTGTTTCTGGATCTTTTACAATATATGTTGGATGTTTTGCTTTAATTATAATCATTGGAGTAGGATGAAATCGTGGATCCAATTTCAAACGATTCCCTTGGATCCTTGTTAAAACATAATCCCCTATATTATAATGTTTATCTTTTCTATTTTTATTGTATCTTATAGCAGAAAGATTTTGTTGTTTGATCATATTTTCACTTGAATATAATTGATATAATTTAAGGGATTTATTCAACTGAGCATAGTAATCGGATAGATTTGGTAAATTTAATTGTATTGGCGGTGGATCGGTTGGCAAACACGGTTTTCTCCCAAATTGTAGCTCATATGGTGAGAACTTCGTGGACGAATGAATGCCAGTGTTATAAGCGAATACCACTGGATCTAATAACTGGAAATCTTTTACATCAATAACAATGAGTATTAATGTAACACTTAAATTTATACAAGATAAATTAGACAAACAACATGAGAAGAATAAACCGACAGACAGAAAACCTGTATTGTATATTTTCGATATTAAAAAACGATCAAAAACCATATTTGGAGTAGACGACATATCAAAGTATCCGCAAGAAAAAGAAATTTTAATACTACCGGGAAATTTGTTTAAAGTTAAAAGAGTTGATAAAGATATTGAAATTAAACATAAAGATGAAAAAACGGGTGAACAGATTAAGCCCATTAGAGGAAGCGAAATTCATCTTGAATATGTGAATGAATCGGTATCATTTTCTCGAAAACTTGGACAAACTTTTAAAGCAGCAAGAACAAACACACTACAAAGTTAAAGTCAACTTAAAACTCACTCGACCTTCAACTCGAACTATATGGAGTCTTTCAAATTCGTTAGTAACTTAATTATGGAGAAAACTCCTTTTAGACAACATAGTGTATTTTATAGGCAAGAAAATAAAATATAAAACCTTCCACTTGACGCAATTAGTCGAATTTTTGACACGGACATTTCATCAACCTTTTCCGCAATCATCTCTTCCGTTAACCTTCACCTAGAAGAACTTCGAACTTTGAAAAGCTACGGAGACAAGGCACAAGAGTGAGTCCACAAGATAGTTTCCTACGACCTGCAGACCGATAGATAAAACTAATTTGTTTGATTAACTGGTTTCAGACATATAGTCGAGTCAAAAGCGTTTTAAGTTTTTTTCGCTGACACTCGTTCGCTGACACTTTTTCGCGTTGAATGTTTTTTCGCACATTCAAGGAAGAGTCGTTTCCGGAATAGTCGGTGAAATGTTCGATTTTTCCTTTCTTAAAAGAGTTGTTCTAAATAGAGAGAGTTTTTATAGATGTGAAAAATGGTTTTTAAGTAAGAAGCGCACTCTTCTGTAAAAAAAGACATTTGTTTCTGCATTTCGATTATTTTCTCATGTATTAATCGTGACGTATCATTGGATTATATATCTGTCGGACGAAGGATGAAAAACGAAAGAAAACGGAAGGTTATACGGACAGTTTAGCACTTTCGAACAGTGATACTATGATCTGTTTTTCTACTCTTCCGTCTGATATATAAAATTACTGTAGAAAACAAAGAACAGGTCATGCTCTTTATGAAATGAGACGAATATGTTTAGTTTATAGTAAAGAAATTTTTTGATGTAATAGACACTTTAATACATGTATCTCTATCTCTACACATTTCTTTTGAATTAATGATTTTTTCTGTATTAGTAGAACTGAAAAATAAAAAAGCAAAAACTGCACTCAGTCTTTTTGGGTCAAGGATACGAAAATAAATTAATTCAACAACAGAGCGAAACAAGCCTAGTGCAGAAAAAAGTGGTTGTAAAGCGTTTGTTGGTCATTATTACAGACGAGAAAACCATTCTGGATAAAAAATCATGCATGCCTCTACAAGATAACTTCAGTAACTGCAGAGTCTTAAATTTTGACGGACTTTTTGTTATATCTATGTGAAAGCAACTAATCCCCTAGATTGAGATATATTTTATGTGTATTATAGGATCAGTGCATTTAGAGCCGGTTTAAAAAATCATTCAATAAGGGTTGGTGAAAATGCAAAATTCAGTTACGGTGAAAAAGGTATTAAAGTACCTGGACAACCAACAATTTTATTGGATTATTGGGGTGAATATTAATTTGCTGAAATTCGAGCTCATTATGGCTATCCGTTATCTTTAATACATACATTCCTTGTAAAAATTGTAAAGCAGAATTTTGAAGATAAAAAACATTGTGGATATCTCGGTCTCGATAATAGTCACCTACGTTCCATAACAATCCCTGACAACCCATTCCTTATAAAAAAAAGGTAGTTAGTGATAGTGGATAGAAAAATAAGCAAATACTTTATTTCATATGCGCCTAGACTTTAAAAACTGTACAGAATTATTGAGATATAGACCTGATGTCATTATAATAAACGGATGGACACAATAGAGGATCCGGGTCTTATATCGCGTCCTAGCGCTCATAACTTTGAAGGGGGTCTTCTAAAGCGTTCCTAAAAAAAGCCGATTTTAAGCTGGAATCGCTTGATCGAGAGTGTCCACTATGTACAAAGCTGTGTACGCACACACTTCTTTTTGTCTAGTAGCTGTATATTCACTCTAACCCAGGTCGTCCATTCTGGCGTCAGGATCCTACCGGATCCAACATCGGAACATGCCGGAAGTTGGTGGAATTCGGTAAAATTCGACAGCAACCATACCGGATCATGCCGAAAATCCGTTGCTCGGCATTCGTGCCGGAAGGTGTTGGAAAAGATCCGACCGGATCCGACATCTTTTGGGACTTTCCGATCGATGAATCGGATTTCGCTCGATTTGGCAGAATGTGACCAGTTTTAAGGTTAAAAATAGTCTTAAATGTTTTCTTTCATTTTCTAGTGGTTCTTCTCTCTGTTCATTCGAGAGAGTGGAGGAGCCCGCTAGCTAGGACGTGTATAACACGTCCGTTGAACAGTGTGAGCGATGACTCACATTGTTAAGCATTTGAGAAGAACAACTTCTCATTTTTTATTTTCTGCAGTGTCGTATTTAAAGTGCTCCTGTCTTGAAACAAAACCGTGAATATATTATCCGCACTGGAAAGAAAAAAAAAATAAAGTGCACATCACACGATCCGTCGATTTCCGGTCACTGGAAATTAACGGATCCGCCTGGTTCCGGATCCTCCAAAAAAAATGTCAGAACGCGAAGGAATTGAGCAGATTCCGATCTCCGGATCCGGTCGGGCGTCCGATCTCATGAAATCGTCGGAATTAAAAGGATCCGGCAGGATCCGATCTGGTGAATACGACCTGGGAACAGCTGAGGGAAAAGGCGAACGCAAAAATTAGTGTTTGATTGAACCTCAAAATCAACATATTTTAGATGAAAAAATCGATAAAAGAAGGGGTCTTCTAACGTGGTTTTTTTTGTGTTATGAGTTCGAGAGGAGTCTTGTAACAGGGGGGGGGG